ATCTTCTGGCAATTGAAAACAAACAAAAAAAAGAAAAAAGAAAACATCAACCCATGAGACAGAGAAGGTTCTAAGGCAGCTAGCAGAAGCAAACAAAAATCCTCTAAGAAGCCACAAATAGTGTTTTTTTCTCACAAATACTTTTTCAAGGATGAAGAGCAAACATACAAGGAACCAAGACACCGTGAATGATATACAACATAAATGTCAAGTGGCAGAAAGGAATTTGGAAAAAAAAAACATTGGTATTATCATGATACAGATTACACAACAACTACAATTACTTTGGTAAAGAAATATAACAATCTAATTACCAATTAGAAGGAAATACAGTGGACAGAGGAATATATTGAAATGGTCCATATACACAGAATGGGAAAATCCTGACTGGGAAATACTCTGGAGTCAAAGGCCCCCGTTCTTCACCAGAACGTTGTACAAAAGGGAAAGCTTTCAATCCTATACCGTTAGGCAGGATATCTGGTGTATGGCTTTATTGCAGATACCCTGTATCAGACTAATTTCTCTTCTACTCCTTGTTTTCCATGAGTGTTTATCATGAATATGTTGAATTTGTTTTTTTCTACATTTATTGAGATGATCATATTTTATTCAGTAATTGGGACCAGCAGATGGCATAATTGTTACGTCTCTGGACTCCCACCTAGTTGACCATGGTTTGAGTCCCAGACCCAGTGAATTAAAACACATGCCAGGCCATGTGTGTGTGCATGACCAAAATCCTGGGAAGAGAATGGAGGAGAAGGGATTATGATTTGGTCATTCTCCCTGGAGGTGATTACTCACTTTCTGTCTCTGTCTCTTTTTCTCTCTCCAGAGAATGCATGCACCTTATAGCAAAAATCTCTCAAAAAGCAAAACTTTACTTTCTCATTATGCATTACTTCTTATGTAATACTAGATTTCTGAAATACTTCATGTTTAGATTGTTACATTCCCATTCATGAGCAAAACTGGCATACAATCATCCTTCAATTTGCTGTCCTTGTCAAGTTTTCCCACCAGAATTATACTAAACTTCATAAAAAGTTGAAGTGTTAACTGCTTTTGGATATGCCACCTCCTTTTCCTCTGGAAGTGTTTAAGACTGTAATTATGAGTAGGCCAGCAGGTGGCATGGTGGTTAAGAAGGCAGGACTCCCATATGCCCACCCTAGTTCTCCTGGAAGTGGTGGCTTAAAACTCATGCCAGGTACATGCACAAAATCTCAGGAGGAAAATGGAAAAGGGATTGTTGAGCGTCCATCCCCCTGCGGAGGTGGGGGAGGGGGTGATTTTTCACTTTTCCTTTCACTGTTTTTGTCTCTATGTAGCGAGTGAACGTATTCTACAGCAAAAACGAAAGAAAAAAAAAAAACTTAAAAAAAATTTTAAGTATGTGTTCTTTACTATTTGGTTGAACCTGCCAGGGAAGTCATGGCGGCCCGGAGTCTCCTCTTTGCCAAGACTCTGGACTAGTCTTTCAATTTCTTTTTAGACGATTTAGGTTTTCTAGTTTCTGCACCTGGACTTCATTCCGGGAAGCTGACTGCAGAGGACTCAGGCGACAGAGCAACCCAAACAACACACATCAGTGCTGGACAGGGGTGAATCACCTCCGTCCGGCCGGGCGCCCAGTGTCGCGTCCCCAGAAGCTGCGTTCTGACGTCCTCGCCTGGCCGAGTCCCCTCACAGGACCGCCACGGAGCCTCCTGCATTGTGGGCCACATGTGGGGGCGTTCAGGTCTGAGCTCGTCCGTGTAGGCTGGATGACAGCGCGCTACACAGCCGTTCCTTCCGCCTGCTCTTCTCTCCCTTTATGAAAGGGGCTGAGGCGGGGGGGGGTAGAAGGAAGGGGTTTCCCATCCCGGAAAAGCGAAGCACGGGAAGTTTAGGTACTGCTAAAGGGAACGGAACTTGACGGAGGAACCTGATGCGGCCCGGAGGCTGCCAAAAGTTCACGTGACTCGCTGCTACTCAGTCGCTCACCGCTCCAGTCCACCGAGCAGGTCACGTGGCAGGCCGCCGGATCAGCCATCACGTGACCGCCGCGGAGCGCGCGACCTTGCGCAGAGGAGTACCGGGTTCCGTAGGACGAGCTTCTGTTGTCGCCCAGCCTCCCACGCGCCCGGATCCGCGGCCTTCCGCGCATGCGCAGCACGCAGCTGCCGCTCCAAAGGAGTGATCTGAATCACAGTCGCCCCACTTCCTCCTCCCCGGGCGGGAACGTGAGCCTGCATGTGCGATCTTGGCCCTGGGGAAGAACATGGTACGGTTATTGCCCGTCAGGCTGAAGCGGTTTTCGTTCTCATCCGCGAATCGCGATCGTCCCCCGAGGTTGGGAGGTAGTGTGAGCGGGCCCGGGAGCGCGCCTGGGGAGTTTGGTCCCGCACTCGCGCTCTCGCGGGAGCAGAGCTAGATCGGGGAGCGCGCCTGCCGGGGGCGCGCAGAGAGGACGTGTCACTGTCGTCGTCTCTCCCTGGGCTTTCCTGGGATGGGCCGTCTGTGCCAGACGCCCTCGCTGTCGCGGGAGCGTAATCTCATCGTCCGGAGAACCGCAACATCCCTTTCCTCCGCTCCGGGGTTTCTGAGCCTACACCACTTCCTTCAGTGATTCTGCCGGGTATCCCCTGCGTCCTCCCCCAAGCTGTCAAAGCTGAACTTGTGCGCCTCTACTGGATCTGCCCCGTGGTCCCTACGGGCATATGAAATATATCAATAAATCGCTTGACCTCGAAATTTCTGATCTTCGGCTGTGTTCTTTCATGTCCTTGATTACCATCACCATTCCAATGCAAGCGTCTCTAGACGCTTTCCAGTGTATTCCGCATCGCGGCTCTACTCTCAAGACGTGTGACATCTTCTCCAGCTGCTCTGTTGAAACACATACTTTACGATCTTAAAAATATTTCCCTTTGGTAGTAGATTTGCCTTATATATTTACACACACACACACACACACATTGATCTGTAGACATTTTCAAGCTTAGGTTTGGGAATGGATCCACCATGCCACCTGCTGGCCCTAGTTTATCATTCCTTACAACTCAAATCGGACCCTTACACGAACAGAGTGTTTTTATTAGCTTCAGGAAGACCATTTCAAAGCAAAGTTCTCTCCACTTCAGACCTGCAACAACAGAATTTCTTTATTAGCAATACAGACTAGTTTTTCTGATCATTTCAAATGCCAGGAAAAAGTAATTAAAAATGAATAGCTGTTTGTCTTTTATTTACATTTCGTTTGTTGAAGACACTTTTGTGAACCAGTTGGCACATGGTGCAATGTTTTTATTAACCGAATGACTGAATGATGAGTGACCCATCTATTAATATTTGAGGTTTAGTGGTCAAACATGGTTTATCTGAGCAGTGCAGATGTTGGTAGCCTGCAAATGCTGTTCTTACATCAGCAGTTCAAGACAGTTATTTCACTATACCACAGAATAAAGCATTCTATGCACTTGACCACATTATCAAGAGTTATTATAGGGATCAGCAGGTGGTATAGTGGTTAAGGGCATTGTACTTCCACATGGTTAACTGTGGTTCAAGTTCCAGACCTGGCGGCTTGCTTTCTCACTTTCCTTCTCTCTCTTACTCTGTCCCTCTCTGGTCAAATTTAAATAAATAAATAAAGTTAAGTAAAATAGTTATTTTTGAGGGACCAGCAGTTAGCGTAATGGCTATGTTGCTAAACTCCCATGTAGTTGACTGTGGTTTGAGTCCCAGACCCAGTGGCTTAAACTCACTCCGGGCGCGCGTGCATGCGTGCCCAAGATCCCAAGAGGAGAATGGAGAAGGGATTGCGATGTGGCCATCCCCCCTGGGGGGGGGTGATTTCTCACTTTCTATCTCTCTTTCTCTCTCTGTCTTTCTGGTGAGTGCACGCGCCCTTATAGCAAAAACACTCCAAAAAAAAAAGATAATTATTTTTGAAAAAGTTACTATAAATGGACTTTTTGTTTTTTCTTAATAGTTAAGCAAATTTAACTCTTTTCTCTCAAACCTTCTATTACTAAAGATAAGAGCCTTAGTGATTTCTTCCATTTTTAATTGCCAGAGGGCACTTGACAGAAAGAGAGAGAGAGAGAGAGAAACCCCCCCCTCCCGTGGACATGATCATGCCATGATCAATCTTCATTTCTCTATCCTGCTGGGATAGATATCACATCTACCGAATGTGTTTTGCAGGGCCAAAACTTGAACCATGGTGGGCCATTTAGGATCTAACTCCTTAAGCACTAGGCCACAGGGCAAGCCCATAATTTATTTTTAAAAATCTCTTTTTTGGGGAGTCAGCAGGTGGTGTGGTGGTTGAGACATTGAACTCCTATATGAATGACCACAGTTTGAGTCCCAGACCTCGCAGCTTGAGGATCACACCAGAGAGGTGTGCTTGTATACACAGAGTCCCAAGACAAAAATGAAGGATGAAGGAGAAGGGATTGTGGCATTGCCATTCCCCCAGGGGGTGATATCTCATTTTCCCTCTATCTTCTCTGGCAAGCACATGCACCCTATGGGGAAAAATAAATTGCCACAGGGTGCATGTGCTCCCTAGAGAGACAGAAAGACGGAAAGTGAAAAAAAGCATCCTATGGTGGAATGGCCACACTGTAATCCCTTCTCTATTCTTCTCTTGGGATTTTGGGCACATATGCACATGCACCAGGCATATTTTTCAAGCCACCAGGTCCAGGACTTGAACTATGCAAACAGCTGTGTAGGATCCAGCTGCCTTAACTACCACACCACCAACTGTCAAAAAAAAAAATTCCCCTTTTTAAACCTAAGTTTGGTAAATGATTTTTAATATGATTTAGAAATTGAAGTGTTAAAAACATGTGTATAGTGAAAAATCTGTCCCATACCTCTATAACCTATTTGTCCTATTTCCAATGTATCCCAGTCCACAGGCCAACCAGTTGGAGTTTCATTATCTATACCCAAAGTTTAAATACACTTATTTTGCTACTTTCTTTAATACTAAAGTAACACAGTATATGTATGCAATGTTCTGTATCTTGCTCTTTTCATTTAGACATTTTTGAAATACATGTGAGCAAATAATGTCATTCTTTTTGCTCAGCTGTGTAATATTCCATAGAATGGGGACCAGAAGTGGCACAGTGGTGATGTTACTGGGTTTTCACGGGAAAAATCCTCAGTTTGAATCCCAAGGCCTCACTAAGTACTCGGGACACACATGATCTGGGAAGTTGATTGTGGTGTGAACACCTTGTTGAGGATGTCCCCTTCTTTCCATCTCTCTCATGAAAGAAATAAACAAAAAAAGTATGAAAACAAATTTCAAGGCCAGCTCAGTGGTCTGGCGGTTAAAGCAGCTGGATCTCATGTTGCCAACTACATGGTTTGAATCTTGGCCCCAGAAACTGAAGAAATACATTGGGCAAGCAGGTGTGCATGCTCGAAATCCCAACAGGATGGAGACATGAAAGAGAAGGGACTTCATTCAGCATGCCTCACTGGAGGATGCTTTCTCTCTCTCTCTGTCTCTGTCTCTGTCTCTGTCTCTGTCTCTGTCTCTGTCTCTGTCTCTGTCTCTGTCTCTGTCTCTGTCTCTGATGAGAGCATATACCCTTTAGGGAAAAAAATAAATAATAATAAAGGGAGAGCCTTGTAGGCTAGACTTTTTGTGTGCTTTTCTTTTATAAATTTAATCATCTCCCCCAAAGCTTTCACAGGTACTCCATTTTCTAGATTAAATACTGGCAACTTTAGTATCTCAGCTCCCAGTTACCATGACAGGGGCCAGTGGGAGGGTCCCTGGGGAAGGGGGATACCTGGGAAAGAAAGAGTCTACATTTAGAAAAAGACATAGCTTGGGTTTTGTCAGGAGGGGAAAAATGGTTCACACTCAGAAAATCTTATCCAAAAACTGCCATCTAGTGTTCATTCCTGAGAATATATCCTGACATACAAATCCTTAGGCTCCCCCCCCCATATTTCTATTTATGTTTTTTTTTATTATTATGCATCAGATTTTAAATAAAATTTGACTACTGAAAGAAACACAATTTTAGGGACCAGCAGATAGCGTAATGGATATGTTGCTGGACTCCCATGTAGTTGACTGTGGTTCAAGTCCCGGACCTGGTGGCTTAAAACTCACACCGGGCACGTGTGCATGCGTGCCCAAGATCCCGAGAGGAGAACGGAGGAGAAGGGATTGCGGTGTGGCCATCCCCCCTGGGGGGGTGATTTCTCACTTTCTGTCTCTGTCAGTCTGGCGAGCACCCTATAGCAAAAACCTCTCTAAAAAAAAAAAAAAAAAAAAAAAGAAGAAGAAGAAGCAAAAACCTCTCAAAAATAAAAATGAAAAATAAAGTTGAATAAAATAATTCTTTAAAAAATGAAAAAGACATTAAATATACATATATATAATATGTATATATGTGTATATATACATACACATATATTTTTTATATATATAAATATATAAACTGTTCCAGGTAGAGGGGGTAGCCGAAACAGATCCTAAGAGAGAAGTAAGCATAAGGGTGTTTTATATGATAAGAAGGCCAGTGCCAGTGTGGTTCAAGGGAAGATGGAAGGAAAGGGGGAGGCTGAGATCAGTGAGGATGTACTGGGTAGATTACACAAGGCCCACCAGACTACCATTTGGTTTCCTCCACCTTGCTCTGTGCTTTGGGGTTTTTCCATCTCCTGCTCTCTCTCACACATGTACTCTCTCTCTCTCTCTCTTTTTAAAAAATTTTATTTATTCATTCATTTATTTTAATTTGACTAGAGAGAGACAGAGAAAGAGGGAGAGAAAGTGGGAAAGCACGCCACC